CCCGTAATACAGCTAATAAACTGAACCAAAAAATTAGTTAAAACAATGTACAAACCATTTCATCAAATTTTTTTAAATACAAATAATTATTCTAACAATTTTGATGTATCCAAATCAAAATTAAAACAAGATTTTAAATTATTTAACTCGAGCACTTAGGTATAAAGAACATAGATCCGTTCAAACCCTATGTTAAGGTCGAGCCATGGCCCGACATATTTTGAAAATTTAAGATAAGACCGCTTCATATCGACCATTTTCTTCTCCAAGGTATGCCATTTTTTCCGATATTAAGATGTTGGGCCTCTTGAAATATTTTTCGCCCTGGTAGATTTTTAGGACTTCGGCGCCATTGTCCATGCTATTAGTTTGAAAGATATGGGGGTTAATAAATTAAATTGAATACTATTAATCCACCAATATTAAATATTTTTAACGGTGGTGCAACTTAATACTAGATTCAATATTATATCAATTGATATATTTTTAAATAATGTTTAGGGAATTTACTCCTTAGTAGAAAAGTTTTAATAATTGAGTAATCATTCATTTAAATGTTGCGTATTAGTTACATATAACAACATTTTCAAAAAAATTAYCCATTAAATAATTTACAGTAAATAAGGAAGTTATTTTTWWAAAAAAATGTTGTATTGCCACAGGATACTCCTTAAATAGTAAAAGAAATCTCAAGAATTCAAATAAATATATAAAAAAAATTTTAAAAATTGCAAAATGGCAAAAATGGGAATAAGCATGTTTAGTGAATCACTCTATATATTAAGTATTTATCATCATGTGTTGGAAAAGAAAATTATCATCTTTTACATAGACAATGATTTTTTATTGAATATTTAATCTAGTTTGTACTTTGATGAAGTAAAATTATTCTGAAAAACTAACAAAACCAGAAAATTTCCACACCAATTTTTATACAACAAAATATTTATTTATTTATTTTTTGTAATTAAACAAATATTAAACGTAAATAACTTGACATTTTTAACAAATATTTAGATTAGCTTTTTCTTTATATGACTTTTGTGTTTTATATTGGATATTAAACCTTTTAGGAGTAGGTTAAAAGTGTATAACTTATGACTTGGGTTAGCCACAACTATATTATAAAATACAGTTGATAAGTTTAAAATCCTTTCCTTATAATATTTTTATAACATTATAGTACTCATTTTTAGTTTTATATTTTTTAAGTACAAACTATTAAGGAAACAAAAGAGATATTCTAAACTTTTTATTTGATATATATTATTCTTTATTACCAGATAATCTTTGTAATTAATACTATTTTTCATTATATAAATGTTCTCTATATTGTATATAATTAAAGTTAGTAACTTTCTTTTATAAATTAATAATATATTAATAGATAACAATTTACATTTAAACATAAGGTATTAAATAACCAGCAAATTAATATTTTTACTAAATAATACATGTAAGAGTAAAGTAAGTATAAATAATATCATTAAATAAATACAATAAATTGCTAACATATAAAAATAATATACATATACATATATTATGAAAATACAATACGATAAATTATGGTTTATTATTCAGTATTAAAACATTTAAAACAATATAACTATTTTATGAAAATAAATATACAATTTTAAATATATCCAGTTATATTTTGGGTAGGAATTACACCAAATTCTGATTTTAAACGAGTGTGAATTTGTGGATTTACATTTCCAGTAGATGCCGAATACAATTTGAAACAATGGGATAAAAATATGTCTAGGATAAATCTGGCATTTGTTGTAATAATATTTATCTATGAATTTAAATATAGTATAAGTATTTAAAAAAATGTAGAATTGTTTAATTATTTAAAAATACTCACATCATTTACAAAGTTTTTATTTTTCATAGAGCTCTTTATGTAATTACAATGAGCAGCAAAAACTTCATAAAGTAGTTGATCAATAACATTTGCCAAATCAGTTGAATAAAGCACTAAGCAATCATTTAAAAGTAATAAGTAAGTACGAGTGAATGTTATTGTGTTTTGAGTTAGCATTATCCACGAATCACCTAAAAACACCAAATTTATTTCATTATTTGTTCTGCAACATAATTTCTAAGCTCAAAATAACCTTTATTGTAAGATTCAATGTTTGAAAAACCATAATTTGTAAATTCATCAACAATTTTATCTCTCTGTTGTTTAGTTTTTAGATTGAAAGGTTTCCATTTGTCCTCGGAAAATCTTATTTTAATTACTTCAATAGTCTTTTCCTTAATATCATTTATTGATTTTG